ATCTCTTCCTTTGGCCACCTTATTATTCCTGCAGGGTATCTGATCACTGGCAGGGCATAGCTGTTTATTGCCCGGGTCTTATTCTTGCCGTTGAGCTGGCTTCTTAGGACTTGCCTCACTCGCTGGAGGTATTTGGCCGTAGCCGCTTTCCTTGTTGTCAGTTCGAGGTTGCCATTTGCTTGTGGTATACCGAGGTACTTGTAGCTGTCCTCAATGTTTGCTATTGTTCCTTCAGGGAGTGAGACCCCTTCAGTGCGGACTACTTTTCCTCTCTTAGTCACCATCCGACTACATTTCTCAAGCCCGAATGACATCCCGATGTCGCTGCTGTAGATCCTGGTTGTGTGGATCAGGGAGTCTATGTCCCTTTCGCTCTTAGCATACAGCTTTATGTCATCCTTGTAGAGGAGGTGACTGATCGTAGCTCCATTTCTGAGGCGGTATCCATAGCCTGTCTTGGTGATTACTTGGCTTAGGGGGTTCAGTCCTATGCAGAACAGCAGTGGGGAGAGTGCATCACCTTGGTATATTCCACATTTGATGGACACTTGGGTAAGTGGCTTGCCATTGGCTTCAAGTGTGGTTTTCCACATCCTCATTGAGTTTGCAACGAAGGCTCTTAGGGTCCTGTTCACCTTATACAACTCCAGGCATTCAGTGATCCATGTATGTGGCATTGAGTCATTCTTTCTTGTAATCAATCCAGGCTGTGCACAGGTTGGTATGTCGGGATCTGCAGTCTTGTGCGACTGTTCTGTCCACCAGGAGCTGATGTTTGGCTCCTCTGGTATCTCTACCAATGCCCTTCTGTGCTTCGCTCATGTATTGATCCATGTGTCCACTTATCTTAGCCGCAATGATGCCTGACATGAGCTTCCATGTTGTGGAGAGACATTTTATTGGACGATAGTTGGATGGGACTGCACCCTTTGAGGGATCCTTCATGATCAGGATCGTTCGCCCTTCGGTTAGCCATCCTGGGTGAGTCCCATCCCTCAGCAACTGGTTCATTTGTGCTGCTAGGCGCACATGGAGTGCTGTGAGTTTCTTTAGCCAGTAGGTGCTGCCCATGTTTTCATACCTGAGACTCTTTCCTGTATGTCTGCCACTGTTATGGTAACTGGGTTCTGTTCAGGGAGGTTGCTGTGCTCCTCTCTCAGGGTCACCAGCCATTGTGCACTGCTGTTATGTGCAACCTCCTTCTCCCATATGCCTTTCCAGTACCTTTCAGTTTCCAGTCTTGGTAGGTCAGCTCTGCTGTTAGGACCCTGCCACTGAGCGTACACTTTCGCAGGTTGTGTTGCAAACAGCCTGTTTATTCGTCTGGCCTCATTCTCTTTCGTGTACCGCTTTAGGCGGCTGGACAAGGCTTGGAGCCTCTGTTTGGCAGTTTCGAGTGCTTCAGGTATGG